ACTTGCTCTTGAAGCCCGGACCGTTGTTGAATCGAAGGTTGTTGCAGTCCAAGTACTTTACACCGAGCCTTGGGAGGAGACTTAGGAAGTCTACTTTCATTCTCACGTGGAACACTCCTACAGCTCAAGCAACAACGCCGTGTTCAAGGGGTTGTGGAACTGATATTTTTTAAGTTGCTCATCAACCGCCATTACATCTGTGTCTTGATTGATAATGGCTCCACAACTAGCTTTTTTTCTCCTAATGGGATTCATAAGGCGGGCCTGAGAATGAAGAAAGTGGAATTGCAGAACCCTTGTTAGACCCAGGTAGGCAACCAAGAGGTTGTTACCTCAACACACGCTGTCAAAGGTGTGCGCGTCACCTTTGACAAAGATCGCACTGTCACACATGAGTTGAATTTTTATGTCCTCGACAAGTGTCGCTTCGACGCGGTCATTGGTTTGGGCTGGTTAAAGGCCCATTGTCTAAGGACCACGTGGGCGAATACTCAATTCGTGGTGCATGACGCCAAGGGGAACGAGTGTACCGTCTTGTTGGAGGAGACGCTCGGTCTCCAGTGACTCTTTTGAGTGCGAACAAATTCAGCAGGTCAGTGCGCACGAGCAAAGGAGGTGAGGATGTGCATGTAGCCTTTGTAAAGCCTATCCAACTGCTTTCTACTTTTGCCACGTTTTCTACCTCGGAAAATAACTCTACTTCTACTTTGTCTACTTCTCTTCCATCAATTCCTGTAAATTCTCAAACTGATTTTCTCTCTACTGATGAGGATGATCCTCCACCAGAAGTCCCAACAAACATTCGCCGTCTACTAGATCGTTTTCTAGAAGTGTTGGCTGAACCTCGTGGAGTACCTGAGCGTTCGGTCAAACACAAGATCGAGATAGTAGAAGGGAGTGCTCCTCCAAAGGGCTGCGTCTACCGTATGCGGCAAGGCAAGTTGGAAGAGCCGGGAAGACAAATTGATGACACGATTAATCGTGGATGAATTAGGCCTAATGAGTCTGAGTTTGGTACGCCTGTCCTATTTGTGTCGAAGAAAGGAGGCAAACTTCGGTCGTGCATCAACTATCGTGGACTAAACCATATCACTAGAAAAAACGTTTATCCCTTGCCACGCATAGATGATTTGCTGGATGCTGCAGGTGGGTGCAAGGTCTTCTCTAAGATCGACCTCAAGTCTGGCTACCACCAGATTGAAGTTGATCCTATCGACCAGCACAAAACTGCTTTCAAGACACACGATGGGCTGTACGAATTTATCGTTATGCCCTTTGGTCTCACAAATGCACCAGCCACATTTCAGTGCCTTATGCTAAAGGTTCTCCACCATCAGCTCAACAGGTTTGTTGTCGTTTACCTCGATGACATCCTGATCTTCATCAAGTCCATGGAAGAGCATGTCAAGCACCTTGAGGAAGTTTTGCAGGTTCTCAAGGAGGCAAAGGTGCACCCCAACTTAGAGAAATATGAGTTTAGAATGAACAACGTCATCTATCTTAGGCACCAGTTGTCTGCAAACGACCTTGACCCTGAGGCAACCAAGGTTGAGGTCATACGAAAGTGGCCTCAACCGGCGAATGTACTCGAACTGCGTTTCTTTCTTGGTCTGGCTTTGTATTTATGCCCAAATTTTACGTCATTGCTCACCCACTCTCGAGAATAACAAGCAAAAATGTCACTTATGCCTGGTGTGAGAAATGTGAGACTGTGTTTCAAGCTTTGAATGAGGCTTTGGTAAGTCATCATGTGCTTTGCATTGCGGATGCCAACCTCACATTCGTGGTCACTACGGATGCGAGTCAGTATGGGATTGGCGCAGTGCTGCAACAAGATGATGGCGATGGCCTGCATCCGCTCGAATATTACAGCAAACGCGAGCCCAACAACAAGGTAGCTACCTCCACATACATGCGTGAGCTCTATGCCTTGTGAGAGGCGCTACCGCATTGGAAGCACTACCTCTTGGGGCTTCACTTCAAGGTTTACTCAGATCATCAAACATTGTAGTGGATCCGAACACAAATTGATCACTCTCCGACGCTGACCCGTTGGCTGCATGACATTGATGCATACAATTTTGAACTGAAACACAAGAAAGGCTGCTATAATCGTGTTGTTGATGCTTTATCTCGTCATCCTGAGTTTTTCACTTGCCTCGTGAGCTCATATGACCTCCGAAGGAAACCGAAGGACGATGTGGTCGAGCACACTGCTAAGGATCTGAACGTTAGTCCCATCCTCGAGCAGATCAAGATTGACCCTAGCAGCCAGCCTGATTTTCACGAGTGCGAGGGTCTTGTATTCCGACGCTATGAGAAGTTTGATCGTTTGTGTATACCTAACGAGGCACCTCTCCGAACTCATTTCTTGGATTTGGCACATGGTGGGAGTGGACACTTCGGCTTTGAGAAGAGTTACGGAAGTCTTTTGCAATAATTTGATTGGCCGGGAATGAAGGGGTCCGCTCAAAAGTTTATTGTGGAATGTCAAGTCTGTCAAAGGACCAAGGTCCATAGGGATAAGCCTTATGGCCTGCTGAAACACCTCCCCATTCCTAATGGACCCGGTGAGTCGATTTCTATCGATTTCACGGACATGGGAAAGGTGAGTGAGGAAGAACATTCACAAGTCATGGTCATCGTGGATCGTTTTTCTAAATTTTTGAACTTCATTCCTTTACCTCCTCATGCACCAAATGAGCTTGTGATTGAAGAATTTCACCAGCAGCAAATTCTGCAGTATGGCCCCCCGAAAACTCTTGTGGGTGATCGGGACACCAGGTTCATTACTACTGATTGGAAGGACATCACCTCTCAAATCTACGACATAAATTCAACATGACTTCTGGTCGACACCCCGAAGCTAATGGGTTGGCCAAGGAAATAAACCAGACCGTCATTCAGCTGCTTCGTGCATTAATTGTTCCTGATCATAACACGTGGGACAAGGAGTTACACAAAGTGAAGGGGTTGTATAACAGCTCCATTCACTCCGCAACTGGCTTAACACCGAATCAACTGTAATACGGTTGGCAGTTGCGCAATCCTCTCTTCTCTCTGTTCCCTGATCGATCACCTGGTCTCATGCCCGACATGCCTGGTTACAATGCCAAGTATGCACGCTTGCTCAAAGTTGTTATTGCGGCGATGAACAAACACTAGCATGCCATGATCAAACATGCTAACAAGTGGCGCAAAGAAGGGAATTTTTGGAGTATCACGAAAGCTACTTCCATTGTACTATGGTCCTTGGCAGATTCTGAAGGTGGTAGGAGATGACAAATTTGGTCCTTCGTACGTGATCGCCGTACCACCTCATCTGCGTACGTATCCGGTCTTTCACGCATAAAAACTGTTTTCCCACATTGATGACGAGACTTTTCCCTTCCGAGATCCTATGATTCCTCGTGCTATCAACAATGGTCACAAAATAGACAGAATTGTTTCCCATGAAGGAAGAGGAAGGAACAGACAGTACAAAGTTACTTCCTCTATCACCTGTTGAATGAGTTCTAGTAGATCGGCCGAAAGAGCTGCTAAAGAATGTTCCCCGTGTTATTAAAGCTTATGAACGACAGATAGGCAATGGACAGACTGATAAGTTTTCTGCAACATTTACTCCTCATGGTTATACCTAAACTCTCTTTCTGATCTACGCCTATGACGCATGTTGTACCGACTCTGAATGAGTTACTCGCTTCGAGCGAGTGGTGGACCTATGGTACTCCTCCTTGACTTCGTCAATCTTATTCTTCTTCCAAATAATAATATTAACAATGAGTGGATGAGCCAGATCTACTAACCAGAGCCCTTAGTAGTCTGCCATAGCCTTGGCATGTGAGAGGAGGAAGAAGAGGGGAAGCCATGGCTATGGTGGACCTATTGTTGCGCTAGTAGTAAGAGGAAACTTCGGATATTGATTTTGGCTCATCTGCTCATTGTTAATATTATTATTTGGAAGAAGAATAAGGTTGACAAAGTCAAGGAGGAGGCGGAAGGTGGAGAGAGAAGGGGGATTTGTCATTGGTCTTGCTGGTGTACATCTTCTTCTTCTTCTTCTTTTTCTCTTCTTTGGTCTCTATCTCTTTGTAAGTGCTTTCATTTCTTTCGCAATTGGGTGGCATTGTCTTTCCTTGTGAATTTGCGCTTCGGAAATGACCAGGATCGTAACATCTTCTTCTTCTGCTCCTCCTATTGTACTTCTTCGAACTTCTTCTTCTTCTTCTTCTTCTGGAATTGGATCTTCCCTTCGTCCCTCCCTCACTTTCATTTTGTTTAGTTTTTAAGAAGGTAGCCTACTAAAAAAACAAGAAAAGAAGGTAGCCTCTAACCTTAGTAAAGAGCCTTCCTAAGAACCCGTCGACTTCACATTTTCTTCCTCCTCCTCCTTTCTTCTTCTTCTTCTTCTTCTTCTTCTTCTTCTTCTTCTTCTTCTTCTTCTTCTTGTCTCCCCTCTCTCTCTCTCTCTCTCTCTCTCTCTCTCTCTCTCTCTCTCTCTCTCTCTCTCTCTCTCTCTCTNCTCTCTCTCTCTCTCTCTCTCTCTCTCTCTCTCTCTCTCTCTCTCTCTCATACTCGCATGCTTGCTCTCATTTTGTGTATGGGCTAAGCCTCCACTGACTACCGCCAGTGAGCCATCGACTGGGTTGGAAACCTCGACAATGCAAGGCGAGTGAAAGAATCACAAAGGAACTCCAGTACATGCAAGAATGTTCATCTTTTTTTGTTGCAAGAGCTAATTTTTAGCGCCAATAGCCCGAGGGCTAAAGCCACTGGTGCAGATGCCCTTTGCTATCACATAGCCAAGGGTGTGGCTTATCCTCCTTAAATTGAAGCCCATCAAGGGCTTTTCGAATGTTTGCTTTTGTTTAAGAAACAACCTCTCAAACTGTGTCACATCCTTGTTGGGGCAGGGCATGTGACATTGCCTGGGTGAGGGAATCATCAAGATGGGAACATACAGTACCGTAAGCAGGATTTGGGATTTGGGTGATACTAACCGATATCTTGCCTCCAGTCCAGTTTTCTGCTTCAGGTGCTTAAGATCCTGTGATCAATATTACCATCCATCGAGAAAACGAGTTTAAGGTGCAGGAAGCTGCATGGATGAGGAAAGCTTGATGAAACTTCAAATGCTGCAACGGGGGAACGAGAAAGCAATTTCGCGAAGATAGAAGAGCTTCAAGTTTGAGACCATTATTTGTGTTAAGATGGGACTGTGACCCATTGACTATGGAAATCGTATCCCCTTTGTGAGTGTGGCATGGAAGTGCACTGGTTTGAAGGGAAGGGTGGGACACAGAGAGATGGTCAATTGGTCTGTCATCAACATCGTCATCAATTTGCATAGAGCTGTGAATGTGTGACGGTACAGTCACAAGTGTCAATGCGTGAATCTGGGAGGACGTGCAACGTTAGGCATTCCATTGATTCCGTTCTCAATTTCTCACTCTCCTGCTATGATTCTCGTGTCACTCTGTTTTTCATTCATGGGTATGTGCCGATTGGGACTTCGATACTACAAGCTCAAAAGAAGGTCCCCGTGCCATTACGCTGACAGTACTCCACAAAGGATAATGTTTGCTGTTAATTTGTGTGCTCTGTGCACTCCTTTTTCTTCTTGTTGCAGTTCTTGGCTGAAAAGTGACTAGACTCTACAGTTAGTCCTTCAATGGAAGGAAGTTGATCATGTCATGTTTTGTACTTTGCGAAGTCGGGACTTCGATACGACAAGCTCAAAAGAAGGCCCCCATGTCATTATGCTGACAGTACTCCACAAATGATAATGTTTGCTGTTAATTTGTGTGTTCTGTGCACTCCTTTTTCTTCTTGTTGCAGTTCTTGGCTGAAAAGTGACTAGACTCTACAGTTAGTCATTCAATGGAAGGAAGTTGATTATGTCATGTTTTGCACTTTGCGAAGTCGGTACGACAGCGATCCAACCTATCATGCAGAGCATCATTCGGGAACGGAGGTGAATGCACACAGAGGGGGTGGG